AACTAAACTCACTTAATGCTTTCTGGCCATCGTCTCCATGTGATTTCAATTCTTCGATGTGCTGTTTTGCTCCCGCAGGATCGTGAAGTATTCGTTGCATTAGGATTGTAAACGCACTGCCACAAAAACCTGTTCATGTACACCACGAACAATGTTAAGAAATACGTTGCTATGCTATACTGTAGCGTGCATGCTAAGCTTGTGTGAGTGTACCATTTTATGCTATACATTGCAGCACTATTCTGTTCCCTACTTCATGCTATCCTATAGACTGCTATATCCTGTAGACTGCTATATCCTGTAGACTGCTATATCTTGTAGACTGCTGTCTTATGCTGTATTGTACTGTACATGTTATTGTTATTGTTATGTGTGTGTACAATTCTATTCTCTGCAATGCAGTGCTATCCTGTTCTGTGCTTCCCTACGTTATGCCATCCTATACTAACTGTAGACTGCTGTCTTACGCTGTATTGTACTGTACATGCTATTGTTATGTGTGTGTGCCATTCTATTCTCTGGAATGCAATACTATCCTTTTCTGTACTTGCCATGTTTCTTTCTACTAGCTGTAGGATGCTGTGCTACGCTATACTGTACCGTACCTATCTTATTCAAACCATTGTAGCTTATAGTGCAAGAGTAAAGTTGAACTCACCTTGTATGAAGTGTAAAGGAGGCTCAGGATATTCAGCTACGCAAACACCACAAAAATACTTGTTTCCAAAATTTTCTGGTGTGAGATACGTTCCATACTTTAACATGCCGACTTCAAACGGTGACAATTCTACCCATTCTTAAAATATGAAAACAAAGAAATCAGATGAAAAGGAAGGAAGGAAGGAAGGAAGGAACTATATCTTGATTCTTATAAACCGTTTCCTTGGAATTAAGATGAATGCCAATTGACGTACCACTAAAAACTTCAGCGCTGACATCCTTCTTGACGTGGACACACGCATACAAAGGCATTGGTATAGTGCCATCTTCGAAAGTCTTCTGCTGACTGCTTAACAAGGGATTGTMTCGCTATCAAATACACCAAGAAACCTGAGCATTTTGGGTCGAAATGTTTGCATATATAGCATCATGTTCATAATATAAAAGGGCCAAGGTACACCAGCAACTTACAGTCTCTTTATTCATATAGTATAAAGTTATAAAGAGTAAKTTTTTGCTTATATTAAGATGTGTTTTTATTTCCAAACATAAAAAAAGCTCGTWAAGGATGCTGGTTGACTATAGCCCTTCMAAACTACTATTATCAAACTTACATTAACAAGTAAAGTATCTCCGATGAGATAGCCAAAAAGATCCGTAAAGCTAACTGGCTCTCCTCGTCGTTGTTTTTCCAAGATGGCTGATACACGCTTGTAGAGCCAGGACGGCGTAAAGAGAAGACGAACCCAGTTCTTAGCCACACAAGCTCGGATTTCTTTGTTGACYTCTACAGGGTGAATCTTAGGCCAGTGAGGATTAGAGTAAAGTGTTGAGATGTACCTATAGGAGGTGGAAACGASAATAAAGACATAGTCAACAATTGCACTAAGCTTTGACAAGAGAAATTAAGGGGACAGAAGCAATAACATAACAACAAGAACAGCAGGARCAGCAACAAAAGGTACAACAACAGCTTCAAAAGCAGTAATGGCAACACCATCACCACCAACAGCAGCGACCAAAACAACAACAGAAATAACAACAACAGAAACAAGGACAACAACAACAGCAACGTCAACAACAACAATTGTAGCATCAAAAACAGCAACAAAAGCAACAACAACAATAGAAGCCACACCAGCGACAGCACAAACAAGAGCAGAACCAACGACAACCAAAGCAGGAGCAAGAAATAAAAATCAAACCAACTACTGCTACAACTGAAAAGGGAAACAGCAGCTAAAACAGAAACTTTGGTAACAGCAACAACTATTACAACATCAGCATCATTAAAAATACCTCGACAAACAATCATAACAAGAGCAACAACAACAACAACAACATATCGTACATACCATGAAGATCCTGACAATCCTGCAAAGTACATGGAGCAATCCGCGATTCCAATGTCCTTGAGAGCGCAAAATGTCCCACTCAACGCTGTCATGGCGCGAAATCCCCCGCCTGAGCCAACTATAGCCACGGTAGGGACCTGGAAACGAGTGAAACATTGAAATGACGTCACATTTTTTTGTGGCGAAGTGCATCATGGTATTGTTATAAGTATCAAAGATGGCGGATGAAAACTACGAAGGAGGAAATTTCTTTACGATATTCACAAAACGTACGTACTTCGTTGATGTTTTTTGGGCCCTTTTCAGCAAGAACTGCTTTCATAGTGTTGAACACGAAGTGCATCATGGTATTGTTATAAGTATCAAAGATGGCGGATGAAAACTACGAAGGAGGAAATTTCTTTACGATATTCACAAAACGTACGTACTTCGTTGATGTTTTTTGGGCCCTTTTCAGCAAGAACTGCTTTCATAGTGTTGAACAC